TTCTTTTTAACTTCTAAAGTCTCTAAAACCTCTAAATGTTCATGAGTACCAAATTCTTATCTCTAGCCCCAACCTTTCCACCAAACTCCAGGCTCACATCTCTAGCCTACTCCCGTGACACATCCATTTGATGCCCAAAGCATTTCAGAATGAGCATGCCCAAAACAGAACTCCTGATTTCCTACTCCTTCCACCTAGTTGGCTGCGTCTCTGTAAATGACATGATTATCACGTCATTTTGCTCAAGCCAAAAACTTAGCAGTCACCCTTTGCTCCTTTATTCCTCCCCTCCATCTAATCCATCAGTAAGTTACGTAAATTCATTCTCCAAAGTATCCCCAATGCACCCCTTCTCTCCACCTTTCCTGCCATCACCCTGACTCAAGCCACACCCTCTCTCTAACCTGCAATGCCTTCCTGACTCATTTCGTACCCTTGCCTCTTACAATCCTTTCTTCACAGAGCGATGGGTGACCTTTGTACCCGCTAACTCAGATCGGGTCATCCCCCCACCTTAAAACCTTTGAACAGCTCCCCATAATCCAAAGTCCTCTCCCATCCTACAAGGCCCTAACGGGCTTTGACTCCTTACCACCTCTAAAAACTCACTGCCAAGCTCTCTTCCGCCTTCAGGACAGGACCGTGCACCAGCTCCTCCCCTCTGCCTGTGCTGCTGTCCCCCAAACTCCATGTGGTTGCTTCCTTCTTATGTCATACGGGTCTCAAGGTAAGTATTACCTTCTTCGAGCTAATCTAAAGCAGCTGCTAAGGCACTCCTTATCATAACACCCTGCTTTGTTTCCATCACAGCTTTTATCATTCCCCCCAAATTTTCCTCTTTCTATTTTGGTTTACTTACCTGTTATCTGCCTCTACCTATCCCTAGCTCTCACTAAGTGTCTGGTACAAGGAAGGTGCTTGATGTGTCTTGAATAATGAACTGTCATAAGTTCTCTCTTGCATTCTCTTACCTATGCTCAGAAAATTTCAGAAACCACAGCCATTCACTCATTTTTTTTAAAACTCTAAAAGGATAAGATGCTTCCTTTTCTTTTCCTTGGAAAAACTATACAACTGTGCTATTCATTCATTCATTCACACATTCACTCAACAAACTATTATAGACAAACATTACAAACACAAATAGGATACAATCCCTACCCTCAAGGAATTCATGGCCTAGTTGTGGAGGCAAACATGTCAACACATCATTATGAATATCACTTGATAAGAAAAAGATAGAAATTGCTTGAGGACTATGGAGAGTCTAACAATATTTGAGACTGGAAAAACAGGCAGTAACCAGACAGTGAAGGCTCAGCATGTTTAAGGAGTTTGAACTCATAGGGCAAAGTGGTGACAGAAATATTTGAGGAGGGAACAGCACGATCAGCTGGACCATTCTCTGGTTGCACAGAAGATACAACTTAGGCTGTGGGTCTCGTCAAAGGCTGGTAAGAATAGTAAGAATGCAAAGAAGAGGACTCAGAATCAAGAAGCATTTAGGAGGTAAAATGGGCACGACTTGGTGATTATTTGGGAGATATATATACATATATATATACATATATATATATATATATGTATATATATATTGAGAGAGAGAGAGAGAGAGATACACAGCAAAAGAGGTGGAGGGATGGGAAGAGAACAACCACTGTAAGCTGATATGTTAGTGCACAGGTTCTAGAGTCAGACAGATAAGGGTTTAAATCTTGGTTCGGTCACTTACTTGCTGTATCACTTTGGTTACATTAACATCCTTAAGCTTCAATTTCCTTGTAAGTTAAATAGAAACAATATGACAACTAACCTCAAAGGGTCATTGTATGAAATCATGTATGCAAAGTGCTTAGCATAGCGCCTGCTATATCAGAAACCTCCATGAATTGTTAAGGGGTTTTAAAATTATGATCCTCCTCGACTTACAATGGGGTTATGACTCAAGAAACCCATCGTAAGTTGAAAATATCATAAGTCGAAAATGCATAACCTAACAAACATCACAGCTTATCCTAGCCTACCTTAAACGTGCTCAGAACATTTACATTAGCCTACAGTTGGGCAAAACCATCTAACACAAAGCCTATTTTACAATAAAGTATTGAGAACTTCATGTAATTTGTGGAACACCTTACTGGAAGTAAAAAACAGAATGGTTGTAATTGTATCAGTTGTTGACTCTCCTATCATGCCTCACAGGGAGCTGTGGGTCACCGTCTCTGCCCAGCATCATGAGAGAGGATGGTCCCACATACTGCTAGACTGGGAAGAGATCTAAATTCAAAATTCAAAGTAAGGTTTCTACTGGATGCTATTGCTTTCACAACATTGTAAAGTCAAAAAATCATAAGTCGAACTACTGTAGTTGGGGACCATCTGTATTACCAATCTACCTGAATCTGTGATCATATACCTACCTTTTCTCCAATGCTATGGATGAACTGTCCATGCTTCTAGACAGGCCAATCCCTCTACTTGTGGGTAAGAGCCCATCCCTTCTTAGCAGAAAGCCTACATCCTTACATCCATTCCCTCTCTCTCCTACATCATCCATTCTGCCCTCTCTACTGAATCACTCCTTTAAATAAACATATATACAGTTAATTGTCCCATTAAAAAATAGAAAACCTTCTCTTGACCCAACTTCCTTCTAGCTACCTTAGTTCCTTCTTTTCCTTTGTGGCAAACCTCCTTGAGTCACAAATTTCTCTCCTCCCATTCTCTTCTGAATCCATTATAACTGACATTTCTTCTCCATAACTCTACTGAAGGTGTAATTTCCCAGATCACTTCTATGTTGCTAGATCCAATGTTCACATCTTGCTTAACTTCTGAATAGGATCAGACATCGCTGACTACTCCCTTCTCCTTGAAACACCTTCATCACTCGACTCCCAGGTGACCAAACCGTCTGCAATTTCCTCCATCTCTCTGATCACCTTTTTCAGTCTCCTTTGCTTATTCCTTAACTTTCCAACCTCTAAATATGCTCAAGGCTCATCTCTCTATACTCCCTTGATAATCTCATCAAGTCTCATGGCTTTAGGCCACCTATATGCTATTGAGTCAAAAATCCACATCTCTACTCTGGACCAATCCCCTGAAACCCTAGACTCCCATATCCAACTCCTACTCAACATCTCTACGTTCAGATGACTAACATGTCTCTCAAGCTTAATGTGCCCAAAACTGAGCTTCCAATGCTGCCCCCCAAATCTGTTCCTTCCCAGTGTTCCCTGTATCAGTAAACGGAAACGTCATTCTTGGCATAACTTCTAGCTATGACTTAGTAGCTTGAATCAAACCAACACTTCTACAGGAATTAGGAATATCTGTTGCTGAAAAGAAAAATAAAACCAAAGGATAAGAGTAAAACAAAAACCAAGAAAATCTGAAAAAGCAAAACAAAACAAAAATCACACAGGTGATTTGAAGGCACTGGAGAGCAACCAAGCCAGTGAGGACATAAGGGATTGGGATCCCAGGGAGAAGAAAAATACATAGCAATACATTGCTTTTTCTCCTGGGGCATTTACTGAGTTTCTGAGCACAGCACTTAGTGCAAGCAGAAAGCAGTGACCCAGAAGTGTCAGGAGTCTTTCAGATCTGGGAAGATAAAAGTTAAAGTTGAGAACTTTAGACAGGTCTTGAAGGGACAAAACCCCAGAGATAGCAGGACCACAGAGCAGTAAATCGGACAATGTGCTTGACTATTATCCTTTTATCCTTGAGACATTTGGTTAATTCTAAGCTGCAAGGGCACTAGAAATCAAGATACCAAGCAGGTGCTAAGTGGTCAAAAAGCTAAGTAGACCTTTCCACAATCTCACAGAGCTGGGAATACAAACTTACAGAGTTCAAGGTCCCCCAAGATGGGGACCTGTTAAAATGCTAGGTTTTCTGTTGAGATTCTTAAAGGCCTATGGTCTGGAATAAGGGCAAACCAGAAATCGATCAGTCCTCCCAAAGCCTGAATCCTTTATTAAATGTCAACTCTGCCAGTTGAATAACATTAAGTCCTCTGAAGAAAAACAACATAAGCCAGAGCATCTCTGCATTTTTTTCTATACAATGCCCAACATTTAATCAAAACCCTTAGAGTGATCTTTAACTCGTTTCTTTCTCTAGCCCCCCATTTCTAGTCCATCTGTTTCTACGCACATCAAACACAATTTAAATGTCACTTTCTCCTTTGGCCCATTCAGAAACCACCTCAAAATTAAGAGATCAGACCTAAGATCTTCACCCAGTGTTTTTACCTCTAGCATTTACCATATACCTTTATGTTAGTGTTTATACAATGCCTACATCTGCTTTAGACCATAAGCTTCAAAGCACAGGAGGGATCTCGATCTTAATAGAATGCCTTATCATTTACCAGATACAGTTCTACGTATTTTACTCTTAACTCTTTTAATCCTCATGACAAACTCTTAAGAGATAAATTCTATTACCCCTATTTTGCAAATTAGCAAGATGAAGCACAAAAACATTACCTTACCAGAGGTTACAGGGCTAGTACGTTGCAGAACCTGGATTTAAATCCACACAGCACTTAACTGAATTGAAGAACGCAAACGCAAGTGCAAATAACCGATCGCTCAGGAATGCTTAAACTTCACTTACACAAACCAATATTTTTACATTGCCAGTACTAAAACCAATCCATTGCGTTTCTAAGGGTAGACTCACCCCATGATGCTTCATTTTTCAGGGCAAAGGGGGCCTAAAAGACTCAAGAAAGTGCCCACCCTTTCCCAAAATGAGACGTCGGTGGTGCAGGCCTTTACGCTCTGTGTGTCCGAGGGTCCCTTGTAGGAGTAGCAACAGAGCGGTAAGCAGAGAAGGCGGAAAATGCAGACCAGCTGCGGAGGACGGCAGCAGGCGGCCCCTGGGGCGGGAGAGGTGGCGGTGCTGGGAGACACCAGGGAAGCCCTGGCCCGGCCCTGGCACGTAACAGAGCTAGGAGCCCGGGTGCCACGCGTGTGCGACCGTAGGTGGACAGCCCGAAGTAAAGGCGCGGCGTCAGTGCCGGGAGAAGCAGCCGAGGGCGGCCCCCGAGAAACGAGGCCTGCGAGAACGGCGCCAACACAGGCCCCGCAAAGCCACACTCAAAAGTGAGGCCGGGGACCGCCGCCGTCCTCCTCAAGCCTCCGCAGGGGTCCGCCATGCCCGGCTCTTTCACGCGCAGGTGCATCTACAAGGTAGACTTTGGTGGGCGGAGTCAAGGGCCGGAAGTGCCCCGGCGCACTGGTCTTCCCCCGAAACCCGCCAGCAGGAACTTCCCTGAGGTCCCGCTTCCAGCCGGAACGCTGGGTTGCCGGGCAACCGGCGGGCTCAGTGCTGCACCGAGTAAGCCGAGTGTAGCTCCCACCTCCTGCCCTGGCAACTTCTCGTCCCGCCCGCTTCGCTTCTTGCCGCCTCTCCTTGCGCCGCGGAATCCCTGTCCTTGGCACTACGTGCACCTCTCCGGCTCCCAAGACACTTTCGTGGCCACCTGCTTCGAAGCCAAGCTTCACCGAAAGCGAAGCGGTCTGACCCTGGGCGTGGCCTGCACGTTGACGGACCGCGCCTCTCCGGCCATGGCCACCTACACCTACACCAGCCGGCCCCGGGCCCTGCCTTGCCGGCGCCGCCGTTACCGGGACGACCAGATGCAGCGGTGAGTGAGCCAACCAACTCCTCTGTGGTCTCCACCCCCACCGCCCCACGTCCCGGGGCCGCGGGGTCCTGGCCCCTTCGCCCTGGCAAAACCTGCCTATGCTGCTTTCCCTTCTCTACACTCTGCGAAATATAAAATTTCCTCCCCTAAAGAACTCTCCCGTGGTGTGGAGAACTGAAGCAAGAAAGGGCATTAGTTAACTCTTACTGATGATGATGATGCTGGCATGATTGATAACATGTGGACGGAACCGACTTATTTCACTAAGTTTGAGTCAAGTGATGTTTACTGTTGGGTGACTATGTGCCATGCAAGCACCTTCTAGGGGCATTTACAGACATTTTCTTACGTAGTCCCCAGTGCTGTGAACTTGGTCTATAACTCCATTATGCAAATGAAGAAACTGAGGTAAAAATGTGTCACACAGGGCTTCCCTGGTGGCGCAGTGGTTGAGAGTCCACCTGCCGATGCAGGGAACATGGGTTCGTGCCCCGGTCCGGGAGGATCCCACATGCCGCGGAGCGGCTGGGCCTGTGAGCCATGGCCGCTGAGCCTGCGCGTCCGGAGCCTGTGCTCTGCAACGGGAGAGGCCACAACAGTGAGAGGCCCGCGTACGGCAAAAAAAAAAAAAAGGTGTCACACACAATAGCGTGTCCAAAATGGGAGCCAACTAAAGCTGTTTCCACAGCAGTCTTTGGACAGGAATCAGGTTATCCTAACATGCTGGACCCCAAATTGTACTTTTACATTCATCAGTATTTGCAAATATTCAAATATCCATATTTGGAAAGGGCGTTAAATGTTATGGTTCTCTTAAAATTCTTGCCATAAGCCTCAAATTTTGGAATCAGCAGAACTTTCCAAGAATTCAGGCTCCATGCAAGCAGGAACCTTTGTGACTTTTGTTCACTTAAGACTCTGCCTGACACATAGCACTCAACACAAATTGTTGAATTAATGACTGAACAGGAGCAGTGTAGCTCTTGATGCTTATTTCAAACAGAGTCTAAATTCATAATTATCTTATTCTGACAATAAAGACTTCTTTTTTTTTCTTTTTTTTCTCTTTTTGCTGTACGCGGGCGTCTCACTGTTGTGGCCTCTCCCGTTGCGGAGCACAGGCTCTGGACGCGCAGGCTCAGCGGCCATGGCTCACGGGCCTAGCCGCTCTGCGGCATGTGGGATCTTCCCATACTGGGGCACTAACCTGTGTCTCCTGCATCGGCAGGCGGACTCTCAACCACTGTGCCACCAGGAAAGCCCAAGAGTTCTTTTATAAGAAATGTCTACCACTTTAAGAAAGCCAAAACAAGAAAATTTAAATTTAAATTATTTATATTATAAAAGGATTCAATTTTAAAAGGGACTCCTTTGAGAAATACTTCCTGGTGCCTTTACGTGGTTGCTTACAAATCCTTCCTATTAAATCACACCAACAGTTGAAATAAGAATCAATGGTTGTTCATTAGGAACAATTTCTTTTTTTTATAGAGTTAGTTGATTGGTATATTCAAGTAATCTGTTGATTCAAGCCTTTGGAAGGAGTTCTTTTATATTATGTCTTTGATTTTTCAGTTTAAAATTATCCTTATTGGTGATTTTCAATTTATAAAAGTAATATATGCTTGTTGAAGCAAATGAAGAATACAAAATAAGGGGGAATAAAGGCAGAGTTAATTATCTCCCACCGACCTCTACTCCCACTTTCTTGTTGTAACCAAATTTAACAATCTTGGGCTTCCCTGGTGGTGCAGTGGTTAAGAATCCGCCTGCCAATGCAGGGGACATGGGTTCGATCTTCCCCTGGTCCGGGAAGATCCCACATGCCGCAGAGCAGGTAAGCCCGTGCGCCACAACTACTGAGCCTGCACTCTAGAGCCCGTGAGCCACAACTACTGAGCCCACACACCACAACTACTGAAGCCTGCCCGCCTAGAGCCCGTGCTCCGCAGCAAGAGAAGCCACCGCAATGAGAAGCCCGCACACCACAACGAAGAGTAGCCCCCACTCGCCACAACTAGAGAAAGCCCGCGCACAGCAAAGAAGACCCAATGCAGCCAAAATAAATAAATTTAAAAAAAATCTTATTCTTCCACGCCTCCTTGCTTGTTCACACATACAGGAGCATATGCACATATGTATAGAAGGTTTATTTCCAAAGTAGAATCATACTACAAATATTAATCTGCATTTGGCTCCCCCCCCCATTTTATAAGCTCTAATTCCTTTTTTCCCTAATTTTTTATGTATACATGCACATACATATCTAATCTTTTAATAATTATCCTATCACTCATACCTGTGGGTTTTCTTAGTACAGCCTAATTCCCCAGCCCCTTCCCTTGCAAACCTACTCTCCCTCCCCTGCCCCCAAACCATGTTAATGACTTTGAATGAATACTTTTGTACTTTTCTCCAGGCTCACATGTTTATGTACACGTGTATAAATATATACATACACATACACAGCTACAAGGGCTTTACTTCATAGCAATGGTAGCATACACAATTCTCAACATCTTCCTTCACTCACTTAATTCTTTGTGGAAATTCCTCCAATTATTTTTAATAGCAGCATGATATCCCCTGATACCATATGTTATTAAAATTCTCCACTATTGATAGATATTCAGTTCACTTCAAGTTTTTACCACAAAGAAGGAAGTTTCAGTAAATAGCCTTATGTACTGGCTTTTTTATATCTATGAGGCAGATTCCCAGGGTGGGATTGTTAAGTCATGTGTTTTTTTAATACAGACAGATGGAACAAAATATCTTTCCTCCAGAAATGTTTAAACGTATCCTTTTTCCCACATCCTCTCCAGCAATAGGTGTTATGGATTTTTTTTCTTTTTGTCTTTGATATCATAAAAACAAAACCAAAATTTATCCTCGCTATCACTTTTTTTTTTTTTTTTTTTTGTGGTACGCGGGCCTCTCACCGCTGCGGCCTCTCCCATTGCGGAGCACAGGCTCCGGACGCGCAGGCCCAGCGGCCACAGCTCACGGGCCCAGCCGCTCCGCGGCATGTGTGATCCTCCCGGACCGGGGCACGAACCCGCATCCCCTGCATCAGCAGGCGGACTCTCAACCACTGCGCCACCAGGGAAGCCCCTCACTATCACTTTTAATTAGCACTAGGAGGCTTTAATCAAGTAACCATTATGTTTGGATTTTTCCCTTCTGAAAGATCACTGGCTACAGTGGATAGAAATGTTGGAAAGAAATGTTGTTCCACACAGTTAAGAGACTAAGATACTTCTGCAACAGTCCCAGTAAACGATAGTGGTGGCAGTGAGCAGTGGATGGATGCCAGAAAGATTTGGGGGGGTAGAATCAATAGGATTTTCTGGATATAGAAAATGGGGAAGAGGGAAGAGTCATGGATGACTCCCAGGCTTTTAAACCAATTGGATGGTTAGTAGTACCATTTAATGAAATAGAGAGCACTACAGAAGTAACAAGTTGGAGTGGGAAAATGATAATTAGTTCAATTTTGAGGTTGCCTTTGAGACATTTGAGTGAGATGTCATCAGGCATGTCAACTGGCTGTACAGTCTGGAGCTCAGAGGAGAGTTCTGAGCTAAAGATAAAATTGGGAGTTTTAGGTATATGGACATTAAGTGAAGCCTTGAGAGTGGATGAGGTCAACTCAGGACAAGAGAAGGCTGAATCATGAGGAAATTCTTCAGTGGGGGGAACTAGCAAACACCTGGCTGAGAAAGGAGTCAGAGAAAAAGCAGAAGAGCCTTCAGAATAATATGGTGGTATCAGGGAGGCCTGGGATGGAGAGTACTCCAGCAGGGAAGTGGCCGGCTGAGCCGAACACTGTCCAGGAGTCAAGTAAGATGAGCAGTGAAGCATGTCTGGGTTTTAAGTAATATGATGCCAGGCTATCCAGTAGTGGTTTCAGTATGTGATAAACAAGCAATTTACTACCCTTAACAGAATCATTTCTGAGAGAGTACTGTTATTGGTATAGGTCGCTATTTGGTTTCATAGCCACAAATGGCATATCGTTTAAAGAATTTCAAATGAAAATATCAGCTGTGTATTTTTCACTATTGATCATCCTGACCTCTGAAGTTAAAATTTTATTAATATTTTTAAAGTATCATTTTAAAATATCTTTGAGGTTAAAGAACAATAATAAATTTAACTTATTTTTTAAGCCTGATTCTATTAATGTAACTTTTCAATTCTGGAATCAAAATTTTTTCAGTCCTTTAGAGCAAGCCCCATTTCACCGGGGCTCTTTTCAGGTTTGTTAAGTAGCCTAACAGATTTACATCCTAAATCTAGCTCCTCCTCTCACTAGCTAGGTAACCTCGGTCGGATTCCTTGCTGGGTCTACTTCCTCTTCAGTCCAATGGCAACCATCATTCCCAACTGGAAGCTTATTGTGAGCAATAAATAATATCTGTGAAGCGCCTGGCTTTATAATAAACATTCCATAAATGGCAGCCATTTGTCTCCTTACCTTATGGACTGTGCTAAAAAAAAAAAATCAATTAAAATATTTTCATCTTCAATGAAAATATTTTCATTTCTAAATCCTATTAAAAATAAGTTGACTTCAGACAGAGAAAGACAAATATGACATCACTTATATGTGGAATCTAAAGAAGTGATATAATTGAATTTATTAGCAAAACAGAAATAGACTCACAGACATAGATAACAAACTTATGATTACCAAAGGGGAAATGGGGGAGAGGAATAAATTGGGAATTTGGGGTTAACAGATACACATTACTATATATAAAATAGATAAACAACAAGGACCTACTATATAGCACAGGGAACTACATTCAATATCTTGTAATACCTTATAATGGAAAAGAATCTGAAAAAATACATATATATATGTATAATTGAATCACTTTGCTGTACACCTGAAACTAACACAACACTGTAAATCAAGTAAACTTCAATTTTAAAAAATGAATTGACTTCATAGATACCAATACTCTATTACAGTCACTATTTAGAATTTGCTTTTTTACAGAGCTGAAGAACCTATGCATTACGGAAACATAATGTATGACAGAAGGGTGATCCGAGGCAACACTTATGCTCTGCAGACAGTACCACTGGTAAGTATAATTTGAATAGTCTAACACAGAGCGTTCATGTGGTGAAGGACCAATTTTTGTTTCTTTTAATTTCTAATCTGTTATAGACTAACACATTTATGAAATAAAATAAAGATGAATTGCTAGAAAAATGAAATGAAAAAAAAAAAAGACATGCAAAGTACAAGCCAGATAGTGGTTGCCAGGGGTGGGGGAATAGGGAGTAGTTATTTAATGGGTATGGAGATTCAGTTTTACAAGGTGAAAAGAGTTCTGGAGATGGATGGTGGTAATGGTTGCACAATGTGAATGTAGTTAAATGCCACTGAACCGTGCACTTAAAAATGGTTAAGATGGGGCTTCCCTGGTGGCGCAGTGGTTGAGAGTCCACCTGCTGATGCAGGGGACACGAGTTCGTGCTCCGGTACGGGAAGATCCCACATGCCGCGGAGTGGCTAGGCCCGTGAGCCATGGCCGCTGAGCCTGCGCGTCCAGAGCCTGTGCTCCGCAACGGGAGAGGCCACAACAGTGAGAGGCCCGCGTACCAATTTTTTGTTTCTTTTGCGGTACGCGGGGCCCTCACTGTTGTGGCCTCTCCCGTTGCGGAGCACAGGCTTCAGACGCGCAGGCTCAGCGGCCATGGCTCATGGGCCCAGCCGCTCCGTGGCATGTGGGATCCTCCCGGACCGGGGCACGAACCCTCGTCCCCCGCATCGGCAGGCGGACTCCCAACCACCGCGCCACCAGGGAAGCCCAAACCCCAATTTTTTACTAGGTTAATAGAACTGTGGAGATCTATTCTAAAAGTTTCCAAATGTTTACTCTCAATTTCTGTAATTAAATTGTTATAGACCAGTTCAAATAGCTCACAGACAACACGAGTCTGAGGACCACACTTTCAGTAACACTGGTCTAATATATTTAGGTTTGTTTAAATTATCTCATGCTCCAATACTGTTATCATTATTTAACCAAAAAATCTGAATTATGCTTCTTTAGTTCACTCAACAAATATTTATTGAGTTTTAAGTCCTGTGCTGGGTATGTAGGATACAGAGATGAGTAAGATGTAGTGTGATATTAAGAATGATTTCTTGGGGATTGACATATGTGCACTAATATGTATAAAATAGATAACTAATAAGAACCTGCTGTATTAAAATAATTAAATTAAATTTAAAAAAATAATGATTTCTTGGCACAGAAATAAAATATAGTTAACTTGTAAACACTGTTTGACATATAAATGCTTAACACCACATGGGATGTATGGGATGTTAGACGTTCTGAATCAGCATATATCAAAATCACCTAGAAAACTCAAAAATATATATGCTTCAGCATACCATGCATCTACTGCATTAGAACCTCCAAAAGTTGGACACAGGGGTATGTAGTATTAATAAACTTCCCTGGGCCATTCTGGTACAGCCAGTTCAGGGGCCAGCATTTAGAAACAATAGCTCAAACGTGATATAGACATGTTCCAGCATTTTCTTGTGGCAGTAGCAATGAGTACTGCCAGACCTCGAACAAGAGTAGAATGAAGAATCACTGCTTTTTTTTAGCCCTTTTTAAAAAAATTAATATTGTGATGATTTGGTACATTTTTTAAAGTTCTTTAGTCAGTTCATCAACACCTCACTTTAAAAGTATACTCAGACTTCCAGTTCCAGACAAGTAGGAATTCACTAATTCCTTCCTATTCCTCCTCTTACAACTAAAAAACCCTGGATGTAGCACCACAAACAAACATAGGAAGATTCTGAAAGGTGGAAAGAAGTGGACTGGCTAGGGACCTCTGGACTTGAACAACATGGCAATGAGTCCATGGGGGGTTTTTTTGCCTCTCACTTATCCCAGAGTGCCAGAGAAGGCTGCAACCTGCAACCGTGAACACCCTGGAACCTGGCACACCCTAAGAAAAGCCTGCTCCCTCTATCCAAAGGTAGAGGGTGGCCTCGTGGAACAGAAACCTTCTTACCATAGTAGCCCTCCTCCAGCCACACACCAATGGATAAACCGCCCTGCCCCTCCGCATGGCCATTGGTGAGGCTAAGGTGGAGAGCTGGACCTTTTAACATCACGTGATTTCTACGTGGCAGCAACAATACGAATCAGTCCTCTGATTCATCCATGGAGTTGGTGTCAACAAGGGCAGAGCAGGAGGCTGAAGTGCCACCCTCACCCAGGGGCAGTGAGGTGGTAAGAGATGGTATAAATGGATCTCCTACGTTTTCTGGGGTGGCATCAGCCGAGCCAGGAGGGAGCTGAATTTTCAACCCAACCTGACAGCAACAAGGAGGAACAAGGTAGTAAGAGGCAGTGCTAGCCAGAACTCAACTCCCCTACACTCCAATACTAGTGTCAGTGGAGCATAGCAAGGAGCTGAACTATCACCCCCACCTGGCACCTGTGAGGTGATGCAGGTTGGCACCCTGCTTTCGCTGCATGGTGGTAAACTTCCCTCTCCACTCACACCTGTGCACTACAACAAAAGGGGTGACTTCCTGCTAATACGATTAAGACCCATAGCCTCACAACATAATACCCAACATGTCCAGAATACAATTTAAAAATCACTCAATTGTACCAAGAACCAGGACAGTCACAACTTGAATGAGAAAATTTAATCAAGATATGACAACACCAAGATGACTCAGATGTAGGAGTAACCTGACAAGACTTTTAAAGCAGTCATCATAAAAATACTTCAATAAAAAATGAACAATTATGAACTTTCTTGAAACAAATGGAAAAAAATAGAAAATGTTTGCAAAGAAACAGACAAGATTAAAATGAACCAAATGGAAAATATAGAACTGAAAAATACAATAACCAAAATAAAAACCTCTCAGATAGACTTATTGGAGATGACATAGGAAACAATCAGTCAATACAGAAACAAATCAGTGGAATTACCTGGTCTGAAGAACAGGTAGAAAATAGACCCCTGCCCCCAAAAAAGCCTCAGAGATCTGAGGAACAATAACAAAATATCTAAATTCATGTTACAAAATATCTAAATTCAGTCCCAGGAAAGGAGGAAAAGTGTGGGATTTGAAAAAATACTCAAAGAAATAGTGCCTGAAAATTCCACAAGTTTGACAAAAGGCATAAACCCACAAATTTTCACCAAGACACATCAAAATCAAACTTCCAAAAGCAAAAAACAAAAAAAGTCTTGAAACCAAGATTAGGGAAATACAAATTAGAGAAATACAAATTAAAACCACAATGATGTAACTACACACCTGTTAGAAAAGCTAAAATTTTAAAATAATAGTAAGATGAAGTGCTTGTGAGGATGTAGAGCAACTGGAGCTCTGGTAGATTGCAGTTTGAAATGTAAAATGGTACATTGACCCTAGAAAATTGTTAAGTGGCTGCTTATAAAAACTAACAAGCACTTACCATTCAAGTCCACAATTTAACTCTTAGACATTTATCCCAGAGAAATGGGAACATATGTTCACATATTAACCTATTCACAAATGAACATTCATAGCAGCTTTATTCATAATAGCCAAAAAACTGAAAAAAACCAAGTGTCTTTCAGTAGGTAGATGGTTAAACCAACCTGGTACATCCATGCAATCAAGTACTACTAACAAAAAGCCATGAGGGCTTCCCTGGTGGTGCAGTGGTTAAGAATTCGCCTGCCAATGCAGGGGACACAGGTTCAAGCCCTGGTCTGGAAAGATCCCACATGCCGCGGAGCAACTAAGCCTGTGTGCCACAACTACTGAGCCTGCGCTCTAGAGCCCGTGAGCCACAACTACTGAGCCCATGTGCTGCAACTACCGAAGCCCATGCGCCTAGAGCCCGTGCTCTGCAACAAGAGAAGCCACTGCAATGAGAAGCCTGTGCACCGCAACAAAGAGTAGCCCCTGCTCGCAGCAACTAGAGAAAGCCAGAGTGCAGCAGTGAAGACCTAACCCAGCCAAAAATAAATAAATGAAATACATAAATTTTTTTTTAAAAAGGAATGAACTATTGATACAGGTAACAACCTGGGCGGACCTCAAAGACATTATGCTTAGTGAAAAAAAGGCACTCTCAAAAGGTTACATTCTGAATGATTCCTCGTATATAACATTCTTAAAAAGACAAAATCTAGAGATGGAGAACAGAATTGAAGGTGGGACTTGGAGAAATATAAAAGAGGCTCCTTTGGGGCAATGAGATAGGTCTCTATCTTTATTGTGGTAGTGGTTGCACAAATCTATACATAAAATCACATGGAATAATATACACAGACACAAATCAATGCCTGTAAAAATTGTGAAAACTGAGTGAGATCTGTTAATATCTTACATGTTAATTTCCTGATTTTGATGTTTTGTTATAATTGTATAAAATGTCACCATTGAAAGAAGCTGGGTGAAGCATACACAGGACGCTATGTACAGTTTTTGCAAATTTCTGTGAATTATTTCAAAATAAAACATTTTTAAAAAGAGATTATAACTAGATCTGAAACAGTTAAGTTAGGCAATGCATTTCTAAAATGCACTTGTTGTATTTCTCTTACCCTAAATCTTTCAAGGCTGACATTTATAATCTATTACATTAAAAAATAGAAATAAATCAAGCATGATATTTATAATAATGTAGAATATACACATTATACAAAGGAAAAGCCCTCCACTGAAGAATCCTAAAATGATATTAGTAATTGTATTAGAAAAACAAAACTGTAGGTGATATTTCTTTCTTTTTGGTAAAGCTATTTCTTTTGGGTGGTTATTTTATAATAAAAGGAAATGATAACTATGTAAGGGAAGAGCTATTCTATGACAGGAATTGTGTTAGACTTGTTACATTATCATCTGATTTGTTCCTTATAATCTAAAACTTAACAGATGTTATTCCCATTGTACAGATGAGAAAACTGAATATCTGAAAATGTGGGTTATTAGTCCAAGCTTTACTAATCCTAGTAATTAATAAATTAAGGAGTTGGAATTTGAGCTTCAGAGCCAATGCTCTTCTTTCCACTATATAATGTGAATATGGGGGAAATTTACGATAGGTAGTGTTAAGTTAGGAAAACAGTATAAAATGTATGGTATCACCACAACTTAAAAAAAAACTGTATGCATTTAAATAGCAATAGTCATTGTATTAGGAAGATGGGATTATAGGTAATTTTCTTTTTTCTTTTTAAAAAAACTACAATTTCAATTAAAATGTTTTTAGAAGTCTAAATATTAAAAGTTTTCATGTAAAGTACTTTTATATTTCTCCTTTTCTTTTCATATTTACCTTGAGATAAGACAAGTTAGCTATAGAGAAGGACTACAGAATTAGATATGAATATGAAATCAAGGACCGCCACATATTGCAGAACTACTGTGAATAATTATACTTTTAATCCCTTAGTCAGCTATTATTTTGTGTACTTGGACAGGCTTCGTTTGGACTGAGGATATTTTCTTTGTGAGCGAATATATTTTTTTAAGGAAATTCTGTCCATGAAATCAGATTTTTAAAAAACTCGAGCGCTTTTCAATTTCTTAACTACACATTAAAATTTACTGTGACTGAATGGTTGTATCGGTTTACTAAGCACCAGAGGAGTTCATGGTAAAAATCCTTGAATGAGGAAAAACAATTTATTAGATGGGATTCTGCACCCATTTTAATTAACAGTCATAAATTGAAGTTACTTTATATGTTTTGTCAGATACCTTTGTAATTACCAGACAAAGTTCAAATAAATTTTTAATCGTCAAGTCACTGATAATCAGGAGGCATTCTATGACAGAGGCTTTTATACCATCCAGGAATCACTTTTGGAACAGCAGTCCTATATGTTTTGAGAAATATTTTCTAAATTTTAGAAGCCTTTTCTGTCACTCAGCCTGGGCAGCCCGATCCTGCAGAGATTCAGAGACAGCAGCAGGCTAAGAGGAGGGCTCTTGCCAAAAAACGAGCCCAAGAACAGCTCAGACCACGAACGCCTGAACCCGTGGAAGGCAGAAAGCATGTAGATGTACAGACAGGTATGTGGGCCCGCCATTGGCATGGTGGCTCCTGGGTGTGCTTGGTTTTCTAAGTCAGTTCATTTTATTTGGCCTTTATATTATTTATGTATCTGTTATGCTGTCCAGTACGTCCCCAGTCACATGGTAGGAGAAGTCCCTTCATTAAACAAACTCATAGACTATATATTATTATTATATTGGGTATGGCTGAAAGTATGAGATGGGGTTTTTGAAAAAAGAATTTAATGACCAAATTAAGTTCTCTCTTAGCCCTTTTCACATATTCTATTCTCAAACTGGCATTATTTCTTACTTTTTATAGCCCAACATGAATCAGTGTTGGACCAACAGGAGAGGACAGCAATCTAGTTTTATTTTGGTGTTTTGTCTTTTGAGGAGAGTAAACCCATTTAGATCTGAGTCCCCCACTTCTCTCACCATGGCCTCTTCTTGTCTCTCCTTTTGTTCTCCATTCGCTTTGCATACTCCCCAGGGCCATTCGGGCTCTCCTAGGCTAGTGCCAGGCTTTTCCTGCTTGTTTGACTGTTGTCAGCTGTGGAGGCTTACCTAGACCTATAGGGTCTAGCTGTGTTGTTGACAGAATCTTGATATTCAAACAATACTTGGTGTTCTCCTTGGACCAGTGTAACTACTCGGCATTTCACCTTGCACCCCGCCAAGATGGTGAGTGGATTCATCTGAGATATTTCTGGATAATAAGGATGAAAGGAAGAGGACCATTCCGTGTTTTTTCCCTACGCTGAGGCCAAGTATAGAATGAGTATATGTCTGTGATTAGCCAACATAGTTGTAATTCTGAGACAGCTAAATTTTAGTGTTTATTTATACCATCAGAATATTAAGTGATGGAATAGCAGGTACTTTTTGTTGAGTATTTCTTATATCTCAGAGACTATACCAGGTCCTTTTCCTATGTATCTCCTTTATTATTACGAAGACTCCATGTGACTGATAATTATGATCCCTTTTACACATAAAGAAACTGAGGCCCAAAGAGGATGTAATTTGGCTAGGTTTGGCTAGGTTCAACATCTGACTCCGGTTCTCATGTTCTTTGCCTGATACCATACTGCCCTTGCCTCATATAAATTATTCCTAAGGTGAAATTTGGTTTCATATGTCTGTTTATAATATGTAGGCTAGAGGGAGCATCAGGTAACACAGTGACATGGTGCATAGCTTTTTTAAATATCCAGGAATTTTCAAATCTTTATAAGTTGACTATCTTAGGACTCGTTAAATAAATGGATTGTTAACTTTGCATCCTGTGTTATACTTCGTGTCTTACGTACATCTATGGTTTCATGCTCTTCTTTAGTTCTGTTTTCAAATACAAAGCACAGTGCTTTCTCAACATTTAATTAATGTCCTAGCCTGAGTGACTCTGTAGTCTTCCAAATATTTATAAAAACGCTTAGTACACTATGTGAATTGAACCCCACATTTGAGTACTTTTATTCCACGACTTGTTTTCTGATCCATTCAATTCTATTTTGAAGGGACTGTAGTTTCAAATACTTGAAATAGACCAGAATTTCAAACTCAATGTATATGGTGTTCTCTTAGAATTATACCTTGAAGAAATTGCTGACCGCATAATAGAAGTTGACATGGAATGCCAAACAGATGCATTTTTGGACAAACCACCAACACTGCTCTTTATTCCTGCCAAAACTGGCAAAGATGTGGCCACCCAAATTCTAGAAGGAGAGGTATAGTACATTATTGGACTTCCCTCTATCTTCTTTATAAATAGTTAACGTTAGGTTTACTTAAAAGCTTAGCATGAATACAAACCACTTCACAGTCAAGAAGATTCTACTTACTGCATTTCTTTCCAAATTTATCTATAGTAGTTTTATCCTGAGCTACCCAGAAATGTTTTTTTTAATTATTTTTTTACATCTTTATTAGAGTATAATTGCTTTACAATGGTGTGTCAGTTTCTGCTTTATAACAAAGTACATACATATACATATGTCCCCATATCTCTTCTTGCATCTCCCTCCCACCCTCCCTATCCCACGCCTCTAGGTGGTCACAAAGCACCGAGCTGATCTCCCTGTGCTATGCAGCTGCTTCCCACTAGCTATCTACCTTACGTTTGGTAGTGTATATATGTCCATGCCACTCTCTTGCTTTGTCCCAGCTTACCCTTCCCCCTCCCCGTATCCTCAAGTCCATTCTCTAGTAGGTCTGCATGTTTTTAAATACCATGATCTCATTTTCCCTCTTTGCTGTTCAGAAATAAAAATTTTTAGAAATGTTTTTAGAATATTTACATGTTTAATTTTTGTGTGTTTGCATACTTGCTTAATGTAGGAATATAAAGTAGATTGTACCAAATAAAGAAAAGTAATATCTCTGGTATAAAATGTTCCACTGTTAGTTCCTTGTAGATTACATAAATTTTATGAAGATAATCAATGTTAGGAAAATAATCCTAAAATAATTACATTTTCATATCAGTGTGGAATATGCATAAATAGGCCAGTTTATGAAATTGAAGAAGAGAAGGCAACCCTTATGTGCCTAATGACTTCAGTGAGATTTAAGATTCGAAGGAACTTGAAAGTACTGTCGTTGAAATTGGGAAATAAAGTAAGTTTTCATAATCTACGTAGAAGGGTATATTTGCCTCAAAATCCTAGAGATGAATCACCAAAATATCCATTATTCTTGTTCCTTTGTTCTTCAAACTGTCATCAAAACAACCAGTAAAAATTGAGCAGAAAAAGCAGAGAATAAGAAAGACAGATATTTCCCTTGGGTTTCAGAGTTTTATCTGAAAATTGTTGAGTATCAAGGTTCATTCTGATGATTGCATAGGTCTTTTTATAACTTTGACTCAATCATTTTTTGCCTGTAAACAGCCTGTGTGCCCTTCAGGCTATTTTGAGGATCAGAAACCATAATAAAACACCAGCACTGTGTCTGGCACACAGAAGACACTCAATAAATAGTATCCTGTTATTGCCACTCTTTTGGATATTTTTTCACTGAGGCTTTGGTTCATGATTACAATTTTAAACTTGCTTTGTTTTGTGTGTTTAAGCTCTTTGACTTTGACCTTGAAGTTAAACCAATGTTAGAAGTTTTGGTGGGAAAGACCGTCGAGCAGTCTCTTCTGGAAGTAATGGAAGAAGAAGAGCTGGCGAGCCTGCGGGCCCGTCAGCGCGCACATGCGGAGTTACGCAACGTCGAGCTTGCGGAAGTTCAGCGACTTGAAGAGCGAGAGAGACGACACCGAGAGGAAAAAGTATAGAATTTTAGTTTCTCTCTTAGATTTTGGTTATTTAATAGACTATGTTCAAAATCACATGTAGTATGAACAGAGCTCAAGATCTTTGCAAACATATAGAAAAGACCTGTAGTAATTGTTGCTCAGGTCTCTCCTGTAGATCACAGATCTTTCCTGGACTGAATTACGTTTTTAAATTCCAGTTTACATAAATGTACCTACACAGAGTTCCCAAAGTTCCTAAATGTAACAATTTCAATTACATATGTTCCAGTGAAAGGCACTCTTAAATATCCAGAGTGCTAGAGAAAGAAATAACGTCAATTTGCCCCAAGTCAGTGGCAGAGAAGGTGGCAGGAAAAAGTGGAGTATCTTTGGGTAGGTGGGCGGCAAGAAGCAGAGGATCTGCCTAGAATTCTGGATCTCCTTCTCTGTGGTGAGCCTTGCTCCACATCTGTAGAGGCTACTACTTGGGTCTTTATAAAATATTTATACTTGGGTCTTTATAGAATATTTCTCTAGATTATAGGTTTTTAGAACCTTTAATAAGAAAAGTTTTAGAATCCAATTTTTTAAATATGCCAGAAACCTCTAGTTAGGAAGCACGAGGCTCAGTAATCTTTAGATAAGAGTCTGTCTGGGTTTGGCAATAACTGTCACCCTGTATTAAACACTGGCTGGATAAATGATGAAAGAGTTCCCAAACACCTGAAAGGGCTCAAAGAGTCTAGCTTACCACACAGAATAGCTTAGCTGTTGGGACATTCTACCCAAAACCTAGTCAAATGGACTTTCAGTTCTCTTCCAAAGTGAATAATTAATTGTGTAAAGAGCATGGGGCTGATGGTAAAGATTGTGCAAATGCACGATTATTTGTTCACAATTATAAAATGAACACTGACAGAATTAGCAGTGTTGAAATAATTGGTGAAGACTTTATCAAAAAATATTTAAATGTGTTTATTTACTGTTAGGAAATATATTTTAAAAAATGAAGCCTACAAATCATCTAGAGTTATATTTGCTTAAACTTTGAAAGTAGATTTAATTAGAAAATATATTAATGTTCCCACTTGTACATAGGAGTAGAGAATAGTTCATTAGCTTCACAGATTTCATATGAGCTACAAGAAGCAACAACAACAGAAAGAGGTTTTATAATTTTCTGAACTTTATGAACTCAAAGAATCATTACAAATGAGATAATTTATTGGCCCAAGTTTTTAAACAAAGATATATAAGCAGCTGTAATTTTCATATCAGCAATACTTTAAAATACTAATTAAGAATACATATAACTATTATTATTCTTTGATATCAGCCATACAGTCAAACATGTATATCTTGAAATTATTTTACTTGAAAATGGATCAGGAAACAAATTTTACCTTAAGCTTCATGTCCTCTGAATTCAGTACCTACCTAGCTGTTGAAATTCATTAAAATCTTGGTGAAAAACGTCAACTGGTAATAGGCACCTCACTGTTCATCTTTGGATACAAATATGAGTCCAAATTCTTCCGCTCACTAGAGTCACTATTTGGGGAAGATGTAATAGCTGAATAACCACCTGTGGCGGCGTTTTTCTCTGGGCAGGAACGTCGTAAGCAACAGCAGTGGCAAGTGGTTCACAAGCATAATGAGACTGCACAGAAAATCGCCGCCCAAGCGTCTGCACAGCGTTACCTGGCCGACCTTCTCCCTTCTGTTTTCAGCAGCCTCAGGGATGGTGGCTACTTTTATGATCCTGTTGAAAGAGGTCTGTGGAGGTCTTTGCTGGATTAACTGTCACAATAAGCATCCTCTTCATGGTGCAGATTTATCGCGTGCCCATTTTTATTTTGAATTGGAATCTTCCTATCTCTGAAACAAATTTTAAAATCAATTACAGTTGTTTTAAGAAAGAACTGTTACTAGTCAGAGGTGCATTATAAAGATCTTGATTTTAGGATGTTTACTTTCATTGAGAAACAACATTGGATAGTAGAAAGAAATACGGACTTGATGTCAAAAACTTGAGCTTGAATCCCAGTTTTATCATTAACTAAGCTCTATGACCTTCAGTCTCCTCCTGTGTGACACGAGGATTATTTAGGAGCTAAACGTCATAATGTAAATAAAACTTAAACACGGACTTTTTCACCCAATACGTACTGCAGCATAGTACAGCCCGTGGTTGGTTGAAGCCGCAGATGCAGACCTGCAGATACAGAGGTCTGCCTGTGAAGTCATACGCAGATGTTTGGCTGTGCCTGCGGTCAGCAGCCCCAACCGCCATGTCCTTCAAGGGTCAGTTGTATATGTAATCTGTATGTGTAAGTAGTTGTCGCTAAGTTTTTCTCAGTAGACTTCCTATTCCAATCAAAATCTCTTTGGGGACAGCTAGTGAAGTTATGTAATGAGGTGTTTATACTATCCCAGGCATTGTATTAAGTGTTGGAGGCTTCAACAACAGCCAAACCAACCTGATCTCGGCCTTGATAGAACCCGTACCCGTTAGCCATCTCCCAGCATCCCCTCAGAGCCACTCTTCTCAGCTTAGTGTGGCCAAACGGAGGGGAAGAGTTGGCACTTTCTCACTGCCGCCCTCCTTCCTCGGGTTCAAAAGCACTTACATCCATGTTGCTTTGTACACAGGTCCTATTTCAAATGGCTATTACTGTCTGAGGGCAGATATTAGCAATGTCAGTTTTCACCGATGACACACTGAATTCAATACATAAGGGTCAGGTTACAGACAAATATTATTAGTTTACATTTCTATTGTACTTTGCAATTTTTGTCGTGTTTTTCACACATGATACCATTTGGCCCATCCGAAAGGGCTGTGAGGGAGGGAGTACGGCAGATTAAGTCCCATTTTTCAGAAGTAGAAACTGAAGCTCAGAGAACTTGAATTGCTCTTGGACACTCGGTGGGTGCTTAGGTCTGGACTGACTGGGACTCTGACTCCAGGTCCAGTGCCCTTGCCCTGCTGCCAGCTTCCCAGGGTCCAGCTGGGCCTCTTGCTGTTAGTCACAGAGGCCAGCAACCATTTCTGCATTCATGGGTTGCTGGAAAAGTCAGTTATAGATCATTTAAAAGCTTGCAAAGGAGATTCATGCTTCAGATTAAGACTATTTATAGTAGTGAATATATATTCTATCACACTCTCTCTTGTCACCCATTGAAAAATAACAATTAGGTGCCTGCCCCCAAAAAAAGCCTTTTTTTTTTTTTTGGGCCATGCCGCACGGCATGTGGGATCATAGTTCCCCAACCAGGGGTCGAACCTGTGCCCCCTGCAGTTTAAGTGCAGAGTCTTAACCACTGCACCTCCAGAAAAGTCCTCCAAAAAAGCCATTTTAAAACATTAAAATGTATATTGTAAGGGACCTTTTTTTTTTTTTTTTACGGTACGTGGGCCTCTCACTGTTGTGGCCTCTCCCGTTGTAGAGCACAGGCTCGGGACACGCAGGCTCAGCGGCCATGGCTCACAGGCCCAGCCGCTCCGTGGCATGTGGGATCCTCCTGGACTGGGGCACGAACCCGTGTCCCCTGCATCGGCAGGCGGACTCTCAACCACTGCGCCACCAGGGAAGCCCAGGGACCGTATTTTTTAAAGGCTTACACCGTAGAGTAGATTTCCATTTCAGTTTGAACAAATTTATCACTAATGGAAACACCTTGTTTCCGACCCATTTCTACATGGCCCTATCATAGATGCCCTCTGACCCTTTCCTCTGAATCTTGATCAGCTTCTGTCGTCCCCAGGCTTCAGCTGGGCTTCAGGTGGAGGTGCCAGCATTGCTCAGTCCTGGCTTTGCATTGCATTTGGATTGGAGTTCTGCTCCCAGTTCCACACCCCCTGCTTCCACCCCCCGCCTCCTTGATTCATCTCACGTTGCACCTATAAAGTCAGTTCTAACAGCTTTGACGCCAAGGAAGGCCTCATAGTTCTAAAAATACTGTTTCTACTGCAATTGAACGGAAATGGACCAGAAGATATATAGAGAATGTGGTAACAACAAAAGTGATGCTGTATGAGTCTATTTGACATTTTATAATAAGAAAACAATATTGATGTATCTGTAACATTAGGGGAAAGCACAGATTCTTCCAATCTATAATGATTCCTAAAAATCACTTAATTAACTTTTTAAATTACAGATATTGAGATAGGATTCCTTCCATGGCTAATGAATGAAGTTGACAAAACCATGGAGTGCAGCATGGTTGGAAGAACAGTGGTTGACAGTAAGTTCTTTTATTTTATTATTGAAAAGTCATCTCTGAAATTTTTCAGTAGAAAGAATATATAGAAGAAAGATATTTTAAAGTTTTGGTTCTTAAATTTTCAGTATATCAATTATATTAACAAAGGTACATATTTTTACCCTCAATATTAATTTTGGTTCTTTTATAATTTGATCAGAATTAATATCTTCTGTCATTACTTTATAAATTATATTCTGTTAAAATGGGCATTGAATATAATGCATATTTAGCGCATTAAGTGGCACAGAAGGTAAGTATGTTGACTTTATATAAAAGGTGATGATACAGGGAAGGGACGAGGGCTGGTGAATATTTTGTACTCATCTGTAAGTCAGCATTTTAACTACCAAAATACGAAAAATCACAGTGATTTCTGCACCTATAATTTCTCAGTGTTGATTCGTGAGGTGGTTGGGAAACGACTGAGTCTGTATGAGCGTAAGGAGGACAGGCACTCTTCTCTGAAACCTGAGGATGGGCTCAGTGATCCTGGAGTAATGAGAGACCCACCGGTGGGCTACGAGTTCCAGGATCACGGTGCATCACAGGCACAGAGGCCACTTCCAGACACAGACTCCCTGCAAAGAACACTGTATGATGCAAGGTATATGGAGAGAGTGTCATCCCAAGACAGGAAGCTTATGGAAGAAGAGGATGAGCAAACAAATGAGGAAATCCTTCAGGAGTGAAGAACTGTTGCAATAGAGGGGAGCTTCGGAGCCATGGAACCCATCAGCAGCCAGTCAGCTTTGCGAGCAATCAGGTAATGATGCGCGAGTCCCCTCAGGTTATGCACTAGGTTGTGTTTAGTCAACATGTCTTCTTGTCTAATGGACTGAGCAAATCAAATACGTTGAAATAATAAAACTAATTTTTAAAATGAAACTTTATTTAATAGTAGACTATTTAGAAGCTATATTATAAGTCTAATGAGAATTATGTCTAATTACAAGCTTCCCATTACCAGTATATATAACTAATGAATGTATTTTTCCTTAGCCCTTCCATCGCCACTGTGTAACTAATATATTTTTACTTACTCTTCCCATTACCACTATATATAGCTAATATATTTTTCCTTAGTTTTGTGGTTTCGTTCTTTTTTTAGTAAGTATGCTATTTAATGTTAGATATCAGCGCTGTCAGCCATTGAGCTTTTCTTCTCTGCAGAAAAACTGTTTAACTTACTCTAACCAAGAATCCCTAAATGTTGGGTAACTGAAAGCTATAGTGCTCTCTCCTTGCAAAGACCAAGAAGTATACCCATATTTGTATAAAATTAAACAGATAGTTACCCCTTCAATCTTCAATATTCAAGTAACGCTCAAGGGATTCTATGAATTAGTAATATGCTCTCATCTAGTTTTTCACATTCCTGCTATTAAAAAATTTCAGGGAATGCCAATAAAGCTAAAAGTCCCTCCTCAGAGACGACCACTGTCATCCATCAGGTGTGTACCTTCCAGGCCTTTTTCAAGATATTTTTATAGATATAGATTTGAACACCTGGAAATATATGGGATGTATTATTTGCATTTTTCACCTAACAGTATATATTAGACCTTTCAACATTAGTACATATAAATCTCTTTTTAAAATATGGTAAGATATTACCTAGTATGACTGTGTTGTAGGGAATTACCATTTGACTTTTTAATCTGAACTTCTCTGGTGAATTTACCTGTACTATTGAAAATCACAGATATTTTATTTCTGAAGTTATGTTAATCTTTAATCACTGAAGTCTTCTGAAGCTTTAGGTAGATATAGTCTGTTTTTCTCAGAATATTTATAAATATATACAAATATTTATAAATATATAAGCTATTTGAAATAGCTTGCAGTTATTAACACACTTACCTTAGTTTCTTTCTTCTTTTAAAGATTTTTTTTGATGTGGACCATTTTTAAGGTCTTTATTGAATTTGTTACAATATTGCTTCAGTTTTATGTGTTTTGGTTTTTTGGCCACAAAACACATATCGTCTAGGCTCCCCGACCAGGGATCCAACCTGCACCCCTGGCATTGGAAGGCGAAGTCTTAACCACTGGACTGCCAGAGAAGTCCCAACCTTAGTTTCTTTTTAAATTAGGTATTAAAAATATATAAGAGGGCTTCCCTGGTGGCGCAGTGCTTGAGAGTCCGCCTGCCGATGCAGGAGACGCGGGTTCGTGCCCCGTTTTGGGAAGATCCTTGCCCATTAGATTTAATCTTACTTTTGTAAGGTGAGTTTCTAGGGTCTGCTCTGAATATTCTTATTCAAGGACATATGAAGGAATATATATATATATATAATAAAGAAAATCTTTCTCCATTTGTAAAAAGAACTGCACTGTATGTCTCTATAGCATTTTTCATGATTCTCAAGCTAATTCCCCACATATTATAACCCCACACCATTTTAACCTCAGAGCAACTTCTGCGGTGTATGTGACAATATTTTTATTTTCATTTTCAATCAATCTTTGGTTTGTGCAGCCAGCAAACATTCACTGAGTGCCTTCTGGGTGTGGAGCACCTTGAGGAGGCTGCAGATACAGCCTAGCAGTGGAGCTGAGTGAAGCAGGGGTAAAATGAGGAAACCACAGCTCAGGGGTTTTAAGTGATTTGCCCTAAGTGACAAGCCTAGTAAGTAATGGGATGAAAGCTGGAGCCCAAATCTCCTTCCTTCTAATTTACTATACTTTCTTCTGAACAACCTTGAACCTTTGTGAGGTGCAAAGAATAACTTCAAATAAGTGATTGCATTAACAGCATTTTAAAAATTGGAATCACTTCTGTTATTCATTGCTGGGTTAGTTCCATCTTGTTAAACAGTCTTTATGATCCTCCTAAACTTTACAAAATACTAATTTTGGTAGTAAGACCAGGAAATTTTTTTTAATTGGGGTTGTCGTGGACCACTTTTATTGTGGCATATGTTAAATACCCACAGTTTTAAGGATATGCTTTTCTAGATGGACTTGAGGTTGATGGTCTTCTACAGTTGTAACCTTCGTGTACAGTAGCCAGTCCGTTAAACACTCTGCAGATGTTTTGCTAAACATCCAGTTCTGAGCTCTATAATTCCATAAGTTAATTCAGTTTATTAAATATACCTACATCTGTAGACCCCACACTGAAGTTGGTTGAGCTTAACTGCCATCCTGTTCCATCCTAGAGAGAGAAAAAATAGTTGAGAAGTTAGGGCACTGCCCCGTGAAGCCGGTTATATATTATCTGTAGAAAAAAAATACTGAATGGAAACTTTAAATTGGCTGTGCTCACATTTGCTAATCCTCTTCTTACGAGTTCTGTTCCTTTCTATTTTCAACCAACACTAAGCTAACAGAAGCTAAATAGTAACAAAACGGATAATATGTAATAACTTTATAGAGATTGTCATCCCTGACAAAAATTCCCACATCACTGTAATAGATCTAAAAGGTAGAAGTGATTTTCTCTAGTGTAGGTATCATGGTGTTTAAGCCATTCTGACTTCTTTTGAGCTGAGGAATATTGGCGTGGGCTGAGAAGTCACTCAGAGCATCACACGGTGGTGACTGAAAGCAGACACCAGAGCCAGACTGCCTGGTCCTGAGTTCTTCACCACGCATAAGGGGTTTGCCTCTGTAGTTGGGAAAAAGAACTGTTTTATCAGACTGTGGTTTATTTTGAAAACATGTAGGAGAGTGGAGGTTTTGCAGAAGGAAAAAGTATTTGGACATGATAGTTCCTTTAAAACTCATGATGGGTGTGGGAGAAGTGGCATTTTGCATATCATATCAATCCGAATGTTAATGGTACTCATTTCTTCTAACCTAAAAAACTTTCATTTTCTTGTCATGTTGTTCAAACATATTAACCACATCAGCTAAATTTTTTATCTATAATTTTAGTTTTCATATGTTTTATTTACTATGCAAAATTTGTTACATTCTGCTTTTCTCTTTTGTTTGTAGGTGAATCACAGAAAGTTTTATTATGTATTCTATAGCTCAGTAGCCATAGCCATTTATCTCAGTTTATTTAGCAAAAAGGCATTCTGAAGAGGCCCAAATATGGGTTTGATTTCCCCATAGCCCAATTAACACCTATTGTTTTTTAGCCATAGCTCCTAGGTCTAACCAGAACCAACCTTCTCCAAGCTTCTCCAAGTTTGTTCACAGAGACCCAAACAAAAATGTTACAGATCAGGTGTCACTATCATGAAAAACTACTGTTAATGGTATTAGATTGATGTCTCTAATTCTCCCTTTGAATTAGAGCATATTAACCTTTCTGTTTTAGTGCTTTCAACTTACAGATTAAAATTTAATAAATTGATAGCTTAGGTGATGTTTTTCTGTTTTTCATAAACCATGGAAATAGAATAAATGAAATATATGAGTTAAAAGATACAGTAATGGTGTTATAGGTTTGCTTATAAATAAAATCAATCAAGGTATTGAAGTTTGAAATTTCAGTATAAAAATACATTTAAAGAATTTAAAATTCTTTTTGAAAATAGAATTTGAAACATTAATACATTTTTATCACAATGTGCATTTATAATTTTTGTAAATTATACATTTTGTTGTTATACATCTTTATAATGAACTTGTGTGTATGGACTTCTAACATTTTGGATTATATTGATGTCTATTTTTACCACTAGGTGTCAGTAAATCCCTAAAGTAAAGTTGACTTGCCTCCAACGTCATACATAATTTAATGACCCTAAAGAGACCTTGGTAGACAAAGAGTTCAAAAATATATTGTACTCCTTGGAGACTCTAGACCAGGCGTCCCCAATTCCTGGGCCGCGGACCACTACCGGTCCTCAGGCTGCCAGGAAGCGGCTGCACAGCGGGAGGTGGGCAGCGGGCCAGCGAGCGAAGCTTCATCTGCCGCTCCCTGTCGCTCACATTACCGCCTGAACCATCTCACACCTCCCCCATCCCTGGAAAAATTGTCTTCCATGAAACCAGTCCCTGGTGCCAAAAAAGTTGGGGACTGCTGCTCTAGACTCACACTGAATATTTTATTTTGCCCTAAAGTCATCTGCCAGCTCTGTAGGGACTGCAGCAGACTCCACCCTGTACCTCAGACCCTTAAAATGGTAGCGTTAGAATGGACTTTAGCTGTATGTACTCCAGTCTTCTATCCAATACAGCATCCTTAACAGGTGGTCACTTAGTCTTTGTTTAATCACTAAGGATGGGGCTTTCCCTTTATGAGCTGCCCTAGAATAGTGATTCTATCTTATTCAGTTTTGTCTCCCCAGGCTCAAGCTATGGTAAAGACTTAGTCAATTACATTGTTTGACAGTTCTCATTATTAGAAATCTCTTCTATACTGAGTCAAAATCTGTCCCATTATAACCTATTCTTTTTCGTTTATAACCTGTAATCAATTGGCATGATTATGGTGGAGGGAGACAGAATAATTTTATTACCATACCAGCCCTGTCCGGTACTCCAATAGTTTTTTCTTTTTTCCAAGTTTTTCTTTCTCCCAATGAAGCACCACCACTCTTCCCAGTTATTCCTTGTATGGCATAGTTTTAGAACTACTCACTCTCCGTCCTGGTTACTGTTACCCTGAAATTCCTATCTGGTCAAAGTCATCTTAAAACATGTTTCCCAAAATTAGGTATACTACTATAAATATAATCTGACTCAGCAAGGAGTATTGTGGGACTATTATCTCCTATGATTTGGACATCACCAACTCACTTCTTCTA